AAGTGACCATGTGCTCCACAGTGCATGCAGCCTTCAGTGGAAAGACTGTCCAGCGGAAAGTGAAACAGGCTGGTGTGTGGCAGACTAAGACTGTTCCCGTTCCTGACGCTGTGTTAGACTACAACCGAAGCATGGGTGGCGTGGATGTGTCTGACGCTTTGATCGGGTACTACAGCGTTCTCCACAAAACAATGAAGTGGTACAAGACTTTTTTTTCTCCATTTTATGGACATTGCCGTGGAGAACAGCTTCCTTCTCCACAAGGAGCTGTTCAAGATGAGGGTTGACCCCGGCAGGACAAAGCCACACAGAAAACTTTCAGGGAGCAGCTGGCTGCAGAGATGTTGGAATATGCTGAAAGCTCTGGCCATTACTGACAGCCTCCTACCAGGTACATACACACTTCTACTTGTTTAAAACTGACCTTTGTACGATTAATACTTCATAAAATACTGCAGATCCTTTATCTTACCTCTTTCTAATCTACACACATACAAGTATTTAACTGAAGTTACACAACAGTGTTGTTGATACAGAGTTGGAGTTCATTCACACGTCACTACAGTGGGTCATGTTTTCAAGAAACATTGAACAGTGCTGCCACATATGACTCAGGAACAAAAGAAAAGACTCTGAACCCTTTCTTTGCCATTCTATAAAAATAGTGTTGCTACAAAAGTATAAATGAGGCTTACTAATAAGACGACTCAGATCTGAAGCTACTCAGGAATCTGCTGCCAACGTGCAATAAAAAAGACAACATTAATAGAATCAAACCCTTTTTTTGTTACATTTTAGTCGATTATAAAAAGAAATGCCTTTAAAATAGGATGCAAGCAACACTAGTTTCTTAACCTGAATTGATAATAGACTATAATCAATTTAAACAGAACAGATCTGAATGTTTACATTCTTATACCATTTTGTACAATAATTATAATGAATAAGTTCAAACAAACTAAAACTTACAGCTGATTAATAACGGTATCTAACTTGAGTTTTTATTATATGACGTTATATATATATATATATATATATATATAATATGAGGAAATGAACTGTGGTCTGGCTCTCCCAGCTTGCACGCGGTTTGATTGGCTAGCGCTTGTACTGGCGGGAATTGCAAAAACGGGATTTGATTGGCTGACGCCAGCTTCGAGCAAGCATTGAGCATTCTGACGCTGATAGACGCTCGTGATGCTTGCAAGGCCTTGCCATGCTACCCACAATGCAGTTCGGCGAAGTTTGAAAATATCCTACGTCACCCCATTCAAATGAATGGGCGAAGCGTTGAAAGCATTTTTTGACGCCTGTAGTGTAAACGGGCCGTTAGGAGGGAATTCCGTCTCGTAGCGTTTGTGCACTGTTTTGAAATGCCGCTCCTAAATTACCCTTCTTCGGTAAAGCCACGCTCGCATTGCAGATGAGACAGATGGACTTTGAATTGGAATAGATACAAAAATAATCATCCTCCCACTCGGAGTGAAAATTATATAGGCCTATGTTGGGCTTTTTTGCTTCTGCCATAATTGCGGTCTTGTGTGTGTGAGGACTGTCACTCCTGTTGACACGGACAACGTCAGCGAAATATTGCCCAATGCCCACCAGCCACGCCCCGACACATGGGGTCACGCCGGCCAATCACAAAGCTTTGATGCGTTCAAGTGCATTATTCTGGACAGGAAGATTATGTTTCAGGACATTAACGATAAAACAGAATGTTGTTGTTCTATTTTTAGACACATCTCGCGATCGACTGGTTGGGCACCCCTGATCTAGATGCTTCAGTAATGAACAATTACAAGCCCATATCAAACCTCCCATTTCTAGGTAAAATCATTGAAAAAGTTGAGTAATTTCTTGCATTGAAATAACTGTTTCGATGTGTTCCAGTCAGGCTTTCGTCCAAACCACAGCACTGAGACTGCTCTTGTAAAGGTCTTTAATGTCATCCACTTAAACACAGACAGTGGCAGAACTTCAGTGTTAGTATTATTAGGTCTCAGTGCTGCGTTTGACACTGTTGACCACAGCATATTACTAGACCGACTGGAGAACTGGGTGGGACTTTCGGAAACAGTTCTGAATTGGTTTGAATCCTACTTAAAGGACAGAAACAACTTTGTGTCTATAGGTAAATACACATCTGAGTTGACAAATATGACATGTGGGGTTCCTCAAGGCTCCATCTTGGGGCCTCTTCTCTTTAACATCTACATGCTACCACTGGCTCAGATAATGAAGAACAACAAAATAAGTTACCATAGCTATGCAGATGACACACACATTTACGTAACAATTTCACCAGGAGACTATGCTCCAATTCAAACACTGAGTAAGTGCATTGAACAAATCAATGACTGGATGTGTCAGAACTTTCTCCAATTAAACAAAGAGAAAACTGAGGTAATGGTTTTTGGAGCCAAGTCAGAACGTATAAAAGTTAGCGCTGAGCTTCAGTCTGCAATGTTCAAAACAACAGATAGAGCCAGAAATCTAGGTGTAGTCATGGACTCTGACCTGAGTTTCAACAGTCACATTAAAACTGTTACTAAATCAGCCTACTATCACCTAAAGAACATATCTAGGATTAAAAGACTAATGTCACAGCAGGATCTGGAAAAACTTGTCCATGCTTTTATCTTCAGTAGACTCGACTACTGCAATGGTGTCTTCACAGGTCTCACTTAAACATCTATTAGGAAGCTGCAGCTAATTCAGAACGCTGCTGCTCGAGTCCTCACTAACACTAAGAAAGTGGATCACTCCTGTTCTGAAGTCTTTACACTGGCTTCCTGTGTGTCAAAGAATAGATTTCTAAATACTGCTGCTGGTTTATAAAGCACTGAATGGTTTAGGCCCAAAATACATTTCTGACCTCCTGCTAAATGATGAACCATCCAGATCTCTCAGGTCTTCAGGGACTGGTCAGCTTTCTGTCCCCAGAGTCAGAACTAAACATGGAGAAGCAGCGTTCAGTTATTATGCTCCAAGTATCTGGAACTCCCAGAAACCTGCAGGTCCGCTGCAACTCTGACTACTTTTAAATCCAGCAAGAAGACTTGTCTTTTTGTCGCTGCTTTTAATTGAACTATTCATATCTTAGACTGCACTGTAACTTTTATCCATGTATTTTTCTTTTAATGTTTATTTTATTAGCTTTTCTTTTTAATGACTGATTTTAAATGCCATTTTCTTAATGTCTTTCATTTTTTGTAAAGCACTTTGAATTGCCTTGTGTTGAAAAGTGCTATATAAATAAACTTGCCTTGCGCATGGCTATGCCTATATATGCAGGGGTGCACATCACTTTTTTGCCCTGGTTCTCAAAGGAGCACCTGGAGATGTTGCTTGGTGCTCATCCTTAAAATGAAATAAACCGTAACTTTTGAGGGGTCTTGACTTTATTTGCCAGACACACGGCACTGAACACACATGCAGAGGTGAACACAGAACACACATGCAGAGGTGAACACAAGACAACATTAGCACGACCAATAGTCCTACAAGCTGTCATCACTACCCTCCTGACTGCTCTCCTCACTGTCTTCCTCTCTGTCAGACATGGTAGCTGATGATGTAGGCCTACTTCTTCCTCTCTGGTTGAGTCTGCGATTAGCTGCTTGCATCCACAAGTCAACAGCTGGGTTTGGGTCGAAAGTCTCTGTTGTCATCTTAGACAAGTGGATGTAATCAAATAAGTATGTTTACTAGGGTCGGGACTTTAACGCGTTAATTAAGATTAATTAATTACACAAAAATGAACGCGTTAAAAAAATTAACGCATTTTAATCGCACTTTAATCGCACTTATTTTTGCACAGCGGAACGTTTCTCACTGATGAGTTTCAGGCGTACCGATTATACTGGAGCACCAACTAACGTTCATGACTTCAGCATGGGACTTCAAACAACAACAAACCACGGTGAACAATAGTCAAACATGAACGAACAAGCTGATGAGACCGCTTTGGTCGGCCCCGTGGATGGGAAATTTTGTTTTAAAAAACGGACGGATGGAAGCGTCGATAAGAGCACGGTTGTGTGCAAATTATGCAAAAAAGAATTTGCATATCACCGCAGCACATCAAGCCTAAAATATCACCTAAATGCAAAGCATGTAGCAGCTAGCGTGGACGTTAGCCCGACTCCGAGTACAAGGAACCACACCCTGACCCAACCCACACTCAACCAGATGACTGGTTTCAGGGCCAGGATAAGTAAGTCCACGTCTGAGAAAATAACCAACTCCCTGGCTCACTGGATTGCACTCGACTGTAGACCACTTGGAGTGGTTGAAGATAAGGGGCTGCAAAAGGTACTCCAGATTGCATCGTCTGACGCAACATATGAGCTGCCATGCAGAAAGACAGTGACAAAAAGAATCCAGCAGCTTTATGACAATGAAAAGGAAGATAAAGAGAATTTATTGGAGAAAGCCGCATGTGTTGCCCTGACTGGGGATCATTGGACCTCGGTAAGCAATTCAAATTACCTCGGTGTGACGGCACACTTTATTGACATCAAGTGGCGTCTTCACTCATTTGCCTTGTCATCCAGAAGACCACCACTAGGCACTTTGCTGAAAACGTGGCAGAAGATTTTGAGTCTGTGGCAGAGGCCTGGGAAGTCACACAAAAAGTCACCACAATCGGAACAGACAGTGCCCGAACCATGATCGCTGCAATGAGACTGCTCACATTCCAGCACATGCCGTGTGTTGCTCACGTGTTGCAAAGGACCATCACAGTTTGCCTTGCTGACAGCGGGTTCACAGGCACATTGGCAAGATGTCGTAAGATAGAGGGGCATTTTAAACACAGCCCCTCAAACACAGAGGAACTGCACAAGGAGCAAACAGAACTAGAACAAGACAAAGAGCCACTGATACAGGATGTTTCCACAAGGTGGAATTCAACACTGTTTATGATCTCTCGTCTGCTGAAGAACCAAGAGGCTGTGAAGGCTACTCTAGCCAAACAGAAGCACAATCTCACCATGTTGACTACAGCAGAGTGGGACAGACTGCAGAGGCTCGAGACCCTCCTTAAACCATGCAGGTAAACACCCACCAACTGTTTTATTAATGGGATTAATTCATCATTGCTGTCCCTTGAAAAACGTTGTGAATTGACTATGATTGTGCAGTATAAATTAAATTGCTTTTCCAAAATGTATTGTACTGAATATCAATATCACTATGACTATAGTATAAAGTTGCTACTGTTTTTAATCTACTATTAATTGGTACAATAATAAATCACTTTCCTAAACTATCCACTGCAGATATGTGACTGAGCTCCTTGGGGGTGAGACTTATGTCTCGTGCTCTGTTGTGTTACCTGCTCTCCGCCACCTGACCCGCACCATGGAGGTCTCAGATGACGACCCAGCCTATGTGGTGAGGTTCAAGGCTGCCTTTAAAAAGGACCTGTCTCAACGCCAAGATGCACTCAACCATGGATGAGTCAGGGTGGCTACAGCACTCGACCCGCGCTTTAAGGTAACATGTGTAATGGTCTTCTTTGTTTTTCTCTTTTCTTGCTTTTTGACCTCCTTTCCCCTGCCCCCCCCTCTTTTTCCCTCCCCCCTCTTTCTTTCTATGGAATAACAATATGATGGGAACCATGTACGAAAATGAATTTCACCCACCTTTTTACTCTGTAAATCTGTGATGTGACAATAAACCTGATTCTGATTCTAAGGACCTAAAGTGTCTACCAAGAGGAGAGCGAGGAGGGGTGTGGACCAGCGTTGAGGCACTGCTGCAAAAAGAACCAGACAGAGCCACTCCAGAACCCACAGAGGAGCCAGCAAGGAAGAGGAGCTTCCTGCTGTTTAATTCAGACTCTGAATCAGAGGATGAAGAGGGGCCCAACGGGGCTCTGGGCCGCTACAGAGCAGAGCCCACCATCAGTGAGACAGACTGCCCACTGAAGTGGTGGTCCACTCATGAGGGGGCCCATCCACAGCTTTCTGCCCTGGCCCGCAAGTATCTGGGCAGCCCTGCCACTTCTGTCCCTTGCGAGAGACTTTTCTCACTGGCAGGTAACATAGTTCAAAAGAAGAGGGCAGCCTTGAGCTCTGAAAATGTGAACAGGCTAGTTTGTCTCAGCAACTGGCTGAAAGAGAAGAAGCAGAATAAGTAGTCTTAGAGGTATCCTGAGGCCAATGGGCTTGTTACTGAAATGTTGATCAAACAGTGGCCTATGCAACAGAGATTTTATTTTTCATCAGGATATTGGAAGAATAGGAGGGATTGAGGTCAATCACTGGCACTTTTTTATTTTATTTTAAATGGTACACTTGATGTTGAACTATTTATTATGTTGTTGGTGCAACTGGCACTTTATGTTGAACTGTTTATTGTTTTGGCCAAGGTTATTGAGATAGTTGGACTGAAATTGATTAGATTTTTTAAATCAACAAAGTCTGTTATGGCCTCTGAAGCAAGAGAGATGTTTTCGAATAGTCAGGGTTTCCAATGTTCTAAATGTACTAGAAAGTATTGTGTTTTACTTAAAAAAGTACCACCTTGAAAAAAAATAAACAATGTTTTGTTGCTTAAGCTTATGTATTCAGTCATTATTCAATGGTATACTAAAATCCATGTGAAAATTGCTTCTCACTGTTCTCAGGTCAAATATGTATATTTGATTAAAAATGCGATTAATTAATTAGATTAATTTTTTTAATCGAGTCCCGACTCTAATGTTTACATAACCAATGACCTACCATAGCCAATAACAAATTAATGTAGGCTAACTTGTTTTATTTATGTTGTTCATTCATATCTTATTTAACCAGTTAACATTTATTTATGCATTTTTTTTTTATCTCTCCAGTTTTAAAGGATATGTTTGGTTACTGTCCTATAGTATACACTGGAATGATTTGAAACCTGTTTATCCCAATAATTATAAAGGAGTGCCTTGGAAATATGTGTTTACATAAATTGTGATCAAACCGTTTGAACTTAGACTAAAGTGAACTATCTAAACACTCAAGAGTCCTTTACCTCACTGAGCTGTAGTTATCAGCCTCTCAGTCTGACTGGAGAGGACTCTCCCTCCACATTATTGTAGACACATCTTCTTCTTATATCCGTTAGACCAGCTAGCACCAGATGCTAATAACAATAGCGCCGGTACCGGTGCACCCTCCCTCTCTCCCTCGCTCGCTCCCACGCTCGCATTTTGGCTGTGAGCTGCGGGTGCCAGATAAGCCAACATCCCCCATTTTCATCATTTACAGCGCCCATCGTACAGGGCAAATGAAACGTGTAACCGGGGTGAAAAGGGTGTTACGTTTACTTAATTATGAATATTGTTACATCAAGGCCGAAAATTAGGATGAGCCCCAACGGTCAAAAATGTTTTCCCCCCAGAACTGCCAGCGCAGCGCCTCCACAGATCTGGCGCCCTAGGCGAACATCTATTACGCCAGTGCTACGGGCCGGCCCCGAGTTCATATGCAACGCGCAAATATCTTTCTCTCTCTCCTCTCTCCTCTCTCAATGTTGGTACGCAAATGCGCCTTTTTTCAAATGACACTGTGCTCTTTTTTTGGCGGAGGTGCGCATGCGCACCAGTTATGTGCAGCCCTGTATATATGGTAGGTTGATGGGCCACAGCTGAGGGGATAGACGGGGAAACGGAAAAGTCTTTTGACCGTGTTCTTTTTGTTACTTTGGAAAATGATACACTTTTGAGTGACTATGAAGAAATGTGTCCTCCTGTATGCACCGTGTGGACCAATGAATAAAGCTCATCTGATTCAACTACGATCTCCGCTGAGTTGTTTGGAAACAAAGAGAGGCGCGTCAAAACCCACAACCCCGATAGAGGTGGCTATTCAATTGTAGACAAGGATCAAGACGCCACCACACGTACTTATACTCAAATGATTATTTACCCTACCTCACATTAAATCAGATGTTCTTTATGCTGTAAACAACCAAATGTGTGTTTCGTGATAGCATTCTACACGAGGATGACAAATGAAAGAAAAGAAAACTAAGTTTAATATTTCAAAATGAGTTACCCATCTGTAAGTAGACAAGTAGATCTGTAAGGCCTCCCATATAACCTGGCTGAGCCAATATAAAACAATCAGCCAAATAACTTTTCAATTCATTATTGATTACTATTGTTGAGGTACTTTTAGGTTGGCAGTGAACATAAGTCAGAGGTACATGGTGTACTTTTCCTCCACTACATGTATTTAATACCTTTAGTTACTTCACAGATGTGGATGAATGATGTGAAATATAATCAAGTGTTGAATCAGACTTTAGTTCCACCTGGAGTAAATCCACCAGCTACCCTGCAGTATACAAAGTACTTCAAACTAGCTGCACCTTCACCAGCTTTGAGAACACTTTCATGATCAATCATTATAAAACATATCATATATATTATTCTGAAATGGACCAATCTGCACAACGACTACTTTTACTGTCGCTACTTTCACTATATTTTGATTGAGGGACTTTTACTGAAACAGAGTATTCCTACTCTGGCTCACTTTATGCTGCGTTTCCATTACAGTTTAGGAACTGGGGCAGTAACTATAGTAACGCAGTGTAGGCGGAGCCGTGACGTCATCTTCAATGCGAAACACAAAACCAACATCAGCCCAGTGTTGCCAACTTGGTCGTTAAATTTGGCGGCTTTCCAAAAGCCAAAAGCGACTAACGACTAATCTAACGACTTGTAATGGTGTTATTAGGGACTTTTCTGGTGTTTGGAGACTCACGTATTGTTCTGCAGTTAACGAGCTGCCGTGAGCCCCTCAGCCCTCCCATAGTACTGACAGGCGCAGACCAGGGACGTGCACACAGAGTCTAGGTAGTGCTTGAGCACCTGCCCGTTTTGCCCTCTGGACAGCAATGTGCCCTTTTGAAAGTTCGTTTTTTACAGTTTATTTTTATTTATTTTTACAGTGTACTGTATGTGGCTCATGGTAACATCGATCAATTCTGGATTAAAAGCTTCTAATATATACAACAATGCCCCAAATGCGCGTTGTAATGTAATTTTGTCAGACATCCCCATACGTGCCCCGCGGGGCCGCGCACTCCCGTACGTGCGGTGCCCTGGCTGCAGCCCCTCCCTTCCCTGCTCTCAACGTGAACGCGCAGCGCTGACAGGACGACCAAGTAACCACCAGGTAACAAATACAACGAGTCGAGTGTATTGTGTAATCCCCTAAACCAGATGCCAAACTAAACTATACCGGGTTCGTACGGTCATTGAAAACCTGGAAAACTCATGGAAATTCAAAATGCAAATTCCAGAGTGGCAGAGCGTGATGTGAACTGAAAAGTTGCAATATCATTTAAGGAATCGTTGAGCTAGCTAGCTAGCATTGTCACTATCTGCTAACGTTAGCTTTAGCCTTCGTTTTCTAATAATTGTTTTCATAGGCTATAAACAGAGACGTATAAGTATAGAGATTGTAGCCTACTAGAGTAAAAGTAGAAGTACTCAGATCATGTACTTAATAAAAGCAGAAGTACTCAGATCTTGTACTTTAGTAGAAGTACTCAGATCTTGTACTTAATAAAAGTAGAAGTACTCAGATCTTGTACTTTAGTAGAAGTACTCAGATCTTGTACTTAATAAAAGCAGAAGTACTCAGACCTTGTACTTGAGTAAAAGTAGAAGTACTCAGATCTTGTTCTTGAGTAAAAGTAGAAGTACTCAGACCTTGTACTTGAGTAAAAGTAGAAGTACTCAGATCTTGATCTAGATCTGCTATTTTCAAATGGCTGTATATAGGGCTGAAGTGATGAAATGTATGTTTTGTAATAATCTTAATCTAAATCTACAAAATAACTAGTAACTAAAGTTTTCAAATAATTGTAGTGGAGTAAAAGTAGAATATTTGCATCTGAGATGTAGTGGAGTAGAAGTAAATGTATTGAAAATGGGAAATACTCAAGTAAAGTAAAAATGCCTCAAAAAGTACAATATAAGTAGTAGTAACCTTATAGGTTTACATTAATGCTGCTGTTAAATGTTTCTAGGAGATTAACCCTTAATTATCATGCACAGCAGAGCAGTACATTGATTTAGCTCATTTACATTTACCACTTGTAGAATAATGCCAAGAAGAGACAGGATACGAAAAGAAAAGAGAGCTCCAGCAGGCAGCCCGGGGAAGCAGCTCTCTGCTCTCCTGGGTAAAGCAGCCTGAGCCTACCAGCAAGGAAGATGAGGATGCAGATGTGCCTGATGAACCCTTACCCATCATCAATGATGAAGATGAAGAAGAAAGGTCAGTCAATACCAGAGTCATGTTAAGGGACAAACTGTCTGTGTCTAGAGACAAATCCACAGAAAAGATCTGAGTCAGACACAGATGAAGCAGAAATGTCAGAGTCCAGAGCAGCACCATGTTCAGAAACAGTGCTCTCTGATGATGACCAAAATGAGGGAGAGATGGAAGGAGAATCCTCCATAGATGAAGAGAGCCAAGAACCAACTGTTCGTGAACAAGATAAAACAATTGCAAAGATAGCCATAATGCAATATCCAACAGATCCTTCCCATGTAGAAGTCTTTAACATCAAGTGCAATGACAGCTACATGTCCATGTGCTGCAGTGTAGGCCCTCGTCAAGCAGATATGGCATATCCCAAAAATACAGAAGGGCGGTCATTCCAAAAACAATGGTTCTCTGGGAATGCGTGGCTGGAGTACTCACCTACTGCTGATTCAATGCACTGTTTTAGTTGTCGGCTTTTCCACTGAGGAAAAGTACAAAAGTAGAACAGCATGGACGACTGATGGCGTAAGGAGGTGGAACACTGCTCTTGAAAAAAAAATCAAGCAACATTCATGCACAGAGATGCACATGACAAGCATGGTTAGTTGGACCAACTATCAAAAAAAGGCACTCCAGTCTGCATTAGATGTCTCAGATGTGAAGGGGGTGGAGGTTAGAGAGCGAGAGAGGCAGACTAATAGAGAGATCCTGACCAGGTTGATCGATATCACATTATATCTTGCACGACAGGGACAAGCATTTCGAGGCAGTGATGAGAGCGAGTCCAGTACCAACCGAGGTAACTTTCTTCAATTAGTGAATTTATTTGCCAAATATGACAGTGTGCTGAATATGCATACAGAGAAAGTTGCCCAAGTGAAAGGAACCAAGAGAAGGCCCCAGGTGTCAGCGCTGTCTAATAGGAGCCAAAATGACATTATTGCAGCGCTGGCTACTTACGTCAGGGGGGAGATACGAGCTGAATTGAAAGAGGCTGAAATCTACTCCATCCTCCTTGATGAAACCTCAGATGTTTCCCGCAAAGAACAAGTGTCCTTTGTGGTGCGATATTTCCATGAGATGGAAATCAAAGAGAGATTCATTGAGATGTGCACTGTTGATCAGTGCTGGAATTGGGCCGGTACTCACCGGTACGCAGTACCGGCACTTCTGGTTCTGACCCATGGAGTACCGGCACTTCTTGCTCAGTACCGGCATGCTGGCGGTACTCCGGTACTCATGCACCGTGCCAGTACTCAACACTCTCCCGCCGTTCTTATTATACATCCATATATA